TCTATATATATCTATATCTATCTATCTATCTATCTATATATATTATAGTCACCCTTCCTTTTCTAATAGGTTAGGATTCATGCAAATACATTGGTGCCCCCTGCCTTGTTCTTTAACATAATCTTATATAATGGCATTTCCTCACACATTTAGATATTTAGAAAATGTATCCTTTAATGATTGTAAAATCCTCTATTCAATTCATTTCTTAAACGATGTTCAATCAATCTTCTCCAATTAACAATCAGATCAGGTTAAGAATTTTCCTATAAGGTTCCTAGATGTAGAATTAGGAGACAAAGGTTATACATACTTCAAGTTACTATCTAAATAAAGGGAATTCTTGTGGAGTAGTCTATAGGGAGCTGCACTGCTGACCCAAAGGCAGGCTAACCCTTCTCTCGCAGTCTGAATCCACCAGTGGCTCCCTGGGAAAAAGATGGATAACATCCTTCCTGCTCATGTACAGTCTCCAAAAACCACGAGTTGGTTCTGACTCAATGGCAATGAGTTACTGAGATTAATAAGTATAAATATCATAAAGATAAGGAGATCTATTGGCAAGAAGCTTCAAGGTCACTAGCTGCTCTGCAGAAGGATGGACAATCCCCTCCCATGCGATTAACTGCTCTGAAAACCTGCCGGAGGGCCAGCTATGGGTCAGTTCTGACTCTACAGTACACACCACCACTACCATAAAGATGATAAAATGACAAAGGGTAGAGGATCTCAACACTCGCCCAGACATGTACTGGAAGGCCGGTTCCTTTGCACTTTACCCACACGAAGCATTATAATAAAACTGTGTGTTTTCAATCGTATTTTACTTGTTTTTACTTTTATTTCTTTAGCCATGATTGAGACATGAATATTTTGGTCATAATTTTTGCTTATGTGTCTTAGATTAGTAGTCTGCTCATACTCTTAGTTCATTTTGTTCTAAAACGTCTTGCCATTGTTATACGTCATCGAGTTGTCTGCAACTCAGTAGATCCCATGAATAAGAGATCCAAACCTTACCTGGTCCTGGGCCATCCTGATCATCTCTGCCACACCTGAGCCCACTGTCACAGTCACTGTATCAATAATTTTGTTGAGGGTCTTCCTTTCTTACACTGCCCATCTAACTGTCCGAGCATGATGTCCTTTTCCAAGGAATGGCCCCTCCTAATAAGCATGCCTAAAGCATTTTTTTAAAAAAAAATTTATTATTTTTTGAATTTAAATTTATTATTAATTTTAGTAAAAATTTACAGTGACAGAGAGGCACTGACTATTATATAAGAGAGACTAACTCTTGGGAAGATTAAAAAAAATAATTTATCCTTGTTTAATTTTCTTTGGATTTTTGGCTAAAAAAAGAGTTTTAAATAATTACATGGACAAATCTTTTCCTTCATAACAGTTTCCTAAAGATGCGCTCCACATTTTCTCCCCAGCATTTAACTCTCTAATCCATCTGGAATTAATTTAGGTTTAAGAACTGAGGTGAGAATTTATTTTTTCCACATAGTTAATCAATTGCTCTGGCACTGGTTACAGACTAATCCTTCCTTTCTCCATTTTTTCGACATGGACTCTATTTCATAGCCCCCGATTTTTTTAAGAAGTAGACACATTAATCAACGCATATTTGCCACAATCAAAAATTTAGGAAATCAAGCTAATAGATAAAACTGCTTCAAATTTCAGTATCCTGAAAGGTGAAAACCAAAACCTTTGGAGACGTGGCTATGAAGTGACAAAAGCCAACAACACATGTTTCTTTCTGTCTTTTTTTCTTTAATGTTTCTTTGATTTCTGGGAAGTCTGTTCCCTTGAGGACTTTGCTTCTTTTGGAAGCTGTTAACTGGCCTTTGCTGACAGAAGGACATTTACGTGGTGAAAGAGTGACGTGTGAAGGCCCAGTTAAAAGAGACTCAGAGGTTGGCTTTACATGAACAGCTTTAAACTGGATATTCTGCTGATGTTTCTCAGTTGTGAGAGTTGTGTATTAAAGGCAGAGCTACTATTTCCTCTCAATTTCCCTTCAGACCCTGTCCTTTAAATCAGGTACACGTCATGAACAGGAGATAATCTAGTCAACTTACTCAAGAACCATTCTCAGTCACTCCATTCAGGTTTAACACACCTTTTCCTGATTCATTGGGGCAGTTTCCATACAAACTCTACCTCACTACCCCTGAGTCAGTTCTGACTTAGCAACAATCCTCTGGATTTCCAGGGCTATAAATCACAAGGAGAGGAGACTGCCCATCTTTCTCCCTCAGAGACAATAGTGGATTTAAACTGTCAGAGATGTACGGCCTTTGGGCTAGCAGCACACCTTACTATGAACTATATCACCAGAATGCCCCCTTTCCATATAATGGAGCCTGTTATAAACACATGACCAGTCCCTCAGGATTGGAATGAAAAAAAAAAAAACAAATCGCAAAACTCTGTTGGTGTTGAGTAAGTAGGGAATGAAGCCACTTTACTCCAACTCTGCCCTTGAGTCACGCTGAAGGTTTACTTGTGACATGAGCTTACCTCCTTCTGTCTGTCCATCCTTCAGTTACCAGAGTGCTCTACTACAATCCAGGTCTAGTCATGTTACTCCTTACCCAAAGTCTTTGGTGGTGTGTCCTGCATGGAATGAGATAATTCTACCCCTAAATCACCAGTGCCCTCAGGACACATATATCTAACCAGCTGCCATATCTCCGATCCACCTTGTAACAGCCCCGTGGGGTTTCCAAGGCTGCAATCTTTACAGAAACAGTCACATCTTTGTCCTATGGAGTAGCTGGGTGTCTAAGCCACTGAATTTTCATTAGCAGCTCAACACTTAAATCACTGCTACACTAGTGCTCCTACACACACATGCTAATACATGCAATGTTTCCTAATAAAAAAATTATTTCACAAAATATTCACAATATAATCAGTGACTTGGCTCTTAAAGGTATTAGACTAGCATTTTTATGAGTCTCAGAGATGTCCAGATTCCAGTAATATGCTTAGATACAAAAATATGCCACTTATGGAAAAATCAAATAATTCACTCTAATAATATCACAAATATTGACATACCTATTTTGTAACTTTGTAACACATCAAGTAAAAGTACTTTAAAATCCACATGGTATCTATCATACAATGTTAGGTAACACTATCATCATGTATTTAAATTCTTTTTGAAAAAGCCATTCACCAGAATTGTCCTGGTTGAGACAGAACCTGATTACCTGTGTATTTTTAGCTTAAATTGGTTTAGGTCAAAAACCAGTTTTAAAGGATAAAGTAGCAGAGATCTTATCTTCAAATAATGCTCTTTTTCTTGTCTCCTTAAACTAAAAAAAAAACCTCACCATCCTAAACGCCAAGAATTTAAAATTACTTCTCCTGCATAAAAATCAAGCTTTTAAGGTGTCCGATCATTTCATGAGGGGGTTTGTCTAAGGGCCAACTCTCTGTAATTGGGGTAAAATGCACTCACGCATTTGATTAAGAAAACAAACAAACAAAGAAAAGGAACTGCTTGGCTCTTTTCCAAAATACTAAATGGCACTAACTATGTGCATCATCACTTAGGAATAAATAATGGCCAACTCAATTATAAGAAAAGTCTTAGGACATAGCGATACTTAACCAGAAAAGACATATTATGCTCCATAAATTATCATCAGTCTTTTATTTTTAAAAAGTAATTATAAAACTCCGTTTAAAAAAATTAAGGATCAAAAAGGCCAATATTTTTTCTTTACAGAATATAATTTTTAAAAGTCATGAAAATATACAGTTTGGAGTGTAGTCAACAAAGAGAGTATTGTGAATATTTAATTGAAGTGTAAGTTGGGAAAAATGATCCTATCAAAATTTCACTCAGTGGGAGAAAAGAAAGATAGTATGTGTAAAATTTGCCCAAAGTCATTAGTCACAATGAATATTCATCAGAAGCCAATTATCAATCCCATTTAATGACACCCCAAAAGATTTTGCCCTGAAGCAGCTGAACAGTCTAAGACTCCAGACAAAACTAGACAAATTAT